CACAGGGCCACTTGTGTGAAGGAATGCCTGGACACCCCACGGATTGGCCGGCGGGGGAAAAAGGTCACCATCTGCCGGCCCAAAGGTCACGTGTGTAAAGAACATGGTATTATCCATGCTTTTGGCCATTTCCATAAGTCGGTGGGGACACGACAGCCCCACCCCCACCCTCACCACAATGAAGGTTTGAAACATGATAATTGAGAAACTGTAACTTAAATGGTTTTAAAAGTGAAGCATCTATTTGACTGAGGAGAAATTATTAAAAAACATAATGTTTTGTTTTTGTTGTTTCGAGCCACCTCTGGCAAAATGAATAAATCTCATTGAAACCTGAAATATTAAGCTAATTTGTTTTAGCCAGCGATGTGCCCTGAAGGCACCAGACACATTACATAAACACCTGGTAATAATTAATAATCTTTTATTGCTACAGAAGAATATCTCTAACATTTACAAAAAAAAAAAAAAAAAGTGAAATTAAATCTTGTGAAAAAAAAGCACTTGATTAAACAGAACTTTTCAAGTGAAGTTTGAAATACATAACCTCTCCCCGAAGATGAATGTAATTACATTTATGTCAAAAGAATAAAGGATTTTGAATCACAGTTCTCGATTGCCGTGGCAGTAGCAGTCTTTGGCATTAACCTGAATAGAGTGCAGCAGGGATGATGTATTCTTTATCTTTTTCATAGCTAACCCGGTAGTTAGCATCACACCGGTCCCCTCCGCAAAACGCCAATGGATTTTTACATTGGCTTTTGGATTATTGCAGAAAATAAGATCTGGAACTTTTGGAGATGGAAGTAAAAAAAGCAAATGTTTGGTTTCTAAACAAACTACACTGGGTGTACTATATGATAATTTTAGTAATTTAGTCCGGACAATCGTACATTACGCTCTTGGTAGGATGCTGGGCTTGAGTCAGGCGGTATGGGCACAAGTGGGCCGATATTAAGAGGTAGTATTATAAGTTCTGTGTGATTGTAACAGTACTATGTTTATATGGCAGATTACATTACTGCAGAGGATAAATGTTTCAGCATTGTAAAATCATCAAATTAAAAACACAATTCAGTTTATTTATTATCCATCTGATTTTGATGAGTCACTGACTCTTTTCAAATGAAAATAAATATCACCAAATCCCAAAACAAACAAGCCATACACTTCATAAAATTCCATATACAACTATAGACCTGTGTGTTTCAACTGTTAAACATTTCTTTCAATAAGCATTCCCGCTTTAGCTTCTTCCTTGTGTTGTTCAATTCAATCCATCCACTGTTCTCCTTGTCATGCCCCGTCAGGTTGCTCCAAGAAGGCCTGTGTCCAGCACACTTGGCCAAGGTTATGTTGAAGGGTTGGTGAAATTTCCTGAGGAGTCCCAGTGCTGAAGCATAGGACCAGTTCCTGTCTGCCACCCGGGTGTTAGACATGGGCGCTGGTCAGTGCTGCCTCCCACTGCTTCGGCAGATGGACCTGCAGGAAGTGACACAGCTGCATGTGATGAGACCTTAAAATTGGTATAACAGATGTGGGAATTGAGTTTTCCTGATTGTACAATATTTGAATTACAAAGAGTGTGTCACTTGACAAATGTTATGTAGCTTTTGGGTGATACGACCTACACTCAGAAATCGAAAACTTTCTTGATTGTAACATTTAAGATTGGCTGCGTAGTCTTCAAGCCGAAGAACCTAGAATCTGCTCCTATGGAAAAGCTGTCATCCAGCCAGTAAGAAACGATATGTACAAATCCCGCAAATTTAGCCTCACCTATGTGGCGGTAAAAAATCAAAACACAGTCAACATCAAAATCTCTTTTCTGTGTGAGATTTGTTTGTCAAGTCAATAGCAGACAAACAGGCGGTTAGACCAAATTATGTAAAACAACATATGAATGTGGACTTTAATAGGATAAAAGCTTCAGGTGAAATCCTATTGTTCAACAATCCAGAAAAACACATTCATAAAACATCAATGAACCCAATCTGAGATGTGGTGTTGTTGTCGGTTAATGTGGTGATAACAAAGCCTGATATAATCAGTTATCGCCTCTATGCCATAGGACCTTCACAGTGCCCAAATCATGAAACATGTTCTTCACGATATATTAATGCTGTTAAATACGTAGCACATCCAAATCTGGTAAGTAAGAAATGCACAATTTACTCCTGTTTGTGTAGACTTTTGTGGAAATCTACACAGAGGAAACCAACTTAAATAATTGGAGCTTATTTAGAATATTAATCCTTTTTAAAAAAATGAAATATATATATTCCTGATTCATCTTTATAGATTTAACAATCTACAATAGAAAGAAAGGCACTCTTGAGTGCCACATAAAAAGTTGTTGGTTAGTCTTTCACAATGATTTTTGTTTGGGACCACCCACCATACCAGATTAAAAAAAAAAAATTAGTTTTAGAAGAGATCAAATATTTAAATTTCAAATACAAAAACCTTCATTTCGGTTATAAATACCTTGGCTGGTTGTTTTTCCTCCAATTTTTTTTTCTCTGCTTTAAAGGTATAACTTAATTCAGATATTTAAAGTTCTCCAATCCAATACTGATATATGACTTTCAAAAGCAACATGTAGTCAACTTATGCTTGGTTCAAATGAGATCAATTATTTACTTTGTATTTCAAAATACACTTGCCCTCGCTCATAAACTCTTCAGGTCAGTAATATAGAAACTTTAATCTGTCGGGCTCTAAACTGTCATGATTTGTTATATAAAAAGTATTTAGTTAGAATCTGAAATTTGTTGAGTAATGTGAAAGGAATATGCTTAAAAAAAAGTATGTTCAAACCGAGACAAAATGTTCATTCATAAGTCATTGTTAATTCCTGTTTGAAATGGTAAAAATTAAGAGTGAGATACTGAGTATTTAATCCAGATGACAGACACTATGAGTTCCTCAAGAGGCACCACAGCACAACACCGCCCCGATGAAAAACTAAGACACTGCTGTCTTTCACAAAGTAGAGTTGACACTTAACAGAAGAGGCATGGTAAACAAACACTCTCTGTTTTTTGCTGAATGTTTTTGTGAGATCTGTTTGTCGTCTTGTGCTGGGGAAGGCAAGCCGATTGCTGAATTTCACTGCAGTTTAATCTCCCAGGATAACAGTGGCTGTCACCTACAGGTTGTTGATTAAGAGGTGACCGACCGACAGACTCATAACTCATCGTATTCCTGACTAGCGCTGCTGACAGGGATATATGCTTAAGGTTCTGAAAGTGTCTCTGGGCAGTGAGGTGATATATTTTTCCCTGCACTTTAATGGGAAAGCACTTTAGTGCGTTGCATCCATTACAACTACTTTGCTAGGGAACAGATAGAAATACTTCAAAGTAGCAATTCAGATGTTGTGTAATTGTGGTATTTAATTTAAATATAGTTAGGGCAGTTTAAAATGTGAGAACATCATTTCAGCTAACCGGTCATGGCGTTGGAAGACTGCTTGGTGTTGTAGTACACACCAAGACACCCACTATCTAGTTTGACTCTCTTCAGACTAGCCTGATGATATACAACTGTACAGACTCTCTCCACGAATCTTCAGTATGAAGTCTCTTGCTGACTGTTGGCCATCTTAAATGTCACCAAGTTAGTTCAGAATAAAAGCCTGGGAACAGAATGTGAAAGCAAGCTGTGAGCCAGTTGCACAAATTAATAGGTCATAGCTTCTTGCTTTAAAAAAATACCTAAATGATGTTTTCTTTGTCCTCCTATCATCTTGTACTTATTTAATTTCAGATGTTGTTGTTATAGGAATTTCACGTGCAGTAACTTCTCGAATGGATTCTCGAAGCATGATGTGATGATTTTTGCACTAGGCTGGACTGAGTGGAGGAAGTCCTGAGCCAAGGGAACGGCGGGCTCTCGATCCTCCCCTGTTCATGGATCGTAGCCAGCTGGGTTGTTCCCACATAGTGGATGCACTTGGGCTTTCACCGTCACAGACATTTGACATGACTAGCATCTACCTTCATGTTGTTTAACCAACATCTCATTAAGAAATGCTCAAGTCAATGTACTACATACACGCATGGGCATTTAGTGTGCAAAGTTGTGTTATGCTCATGGAAAGTTCAGGCCACTGAAATAGAGATTGTTTAGTTTAACAGTGCGTTTCCTTTCTGCTGATGAACATTGTTGCTTCACACATCCATGCATAGAGTCAGCTTATGCAACAGTTTAGTTTTTAATGTTTTAGGTTTAAAAAATGAATTGTGTAATTTTTATGTTGTACCATGCAAATCCAAATCAGGTTTGTTTCCGCTTTTAGGAATACCAAAGCCAAGTTAGCAGAGCCTTCCGCACTTGCAAAACTTTCACAAACAAATAAAAACCCTTTTAGAAAAACCAACTAATAGTTAAATTTTGCTCCCTCTTCAAAAGATCCATAATTAACTACTCTGCCACTCGTGAATGAAATCCTCTTTATTTGAGCAGGTTTTCTCTTTCTTTTCTCGACCAGGCTCAGAGGTGATATGAAACAAAGCTGAATTGAAGACGCGGAGACCACCACATTAATAATATTGTCAGTGGGAGATGTGTGGGGTGATAGGACAAGCACCAAAGGCCTTATAGAGTTCTCTGGTGCAACTTCTAAAGACAACTACACTGTTCTCTTAGAATAATATCTCTAGAATAATTGTGAATGGTATTTTCCTCCTGAGCACACTACACTAATGAACACTAGTAATCGGACTAGAGCTCAGAGCCTTAAATAGCCAGGTCTGGACAATAAAAGTAAAAACAGACAAATGGACCCGTAATTTCGACGATCCATGGGTCAGGATCCAATTGTCTGGCCTTTCAAAGATCGCTCGCACAAAATAGGCAAATGGAAACACGTATACAAGCAAGGAGATCTTCCATCTGGATGCACAAAATGACCGCTAACCAATTTAACAAAGAGTGGGAGGGGGGGTGGGGGGAGGGGGGGGCTTTTTAAAACCTCCACACCCTCCCTTCTAATGAAACTCTCCCCTCACCCAACTCATGGTCAGCACAAAGGTCCGACCGCCCTCAGCACACTTTAGGAGGGTGGGGCCCATTGTTGTGGACACCAGAGGCAGATGGTCATTTGGGCCTTTTCTCCACAGGGCCACTTGTGTGAAGGAATGCCTGGACACCCCACGGATGGCCGGCGGGGGAAAAAGGTCACCATCTGCCGGCCCAAAGGTCACGTGTGTAAAGAACATGGTATTATCCATGCTTTTGGCCATTTCCATAAGTCGGTGGGGGACACGACAGCCCCACCCCCACCCTCACCACAATGAAGGTTTGAAACATGATAATTGAGAAAACTGTAACTTAAATGGTTTTAAAAGTGAAGCATCTATTTGACTGAGGAGAAATTATTAAAAAACATAATGTTTTGTTTTGTTTCGAGCCACCTCTGGCAAAATGAATAAATCTCATTGAAACCTGAAATATTAAGCTAATTTGTTTTAGCCAGCGATGTGCCCTGAAGGCACCAGACACATTACATAAACACCTGGTAATAATTAATAATCTTTTATTGCTACAGAAGAATATCTCTAAACATTTACAAAAAAAAAAAAAAAGTGAAATTAAATCTGTGGAAAAAAAAAGCACTTGATTAAACCGAAACTTTTCAAGTGAAGTATTGAAATACATAACCTCTCCCCGAAGATGAATGTAATTACATTTATGTCAAAAGAATAAAGGATTTTGAATCACAGTTCTCGATGCCGTGGCAGTAGCAGTCTTTGGCATTAACCTGAATAGAGTGCAGCAGGGATGATGTATTCTTTATCTTTTTCATAGCTAACCCGGTAGTTAGCATCACACCGGTCCCCTCCGCAAAACGCCAATGGGATTTTTACATTGGCTTTTGGATTATTGCAGAAAATAAGATCTGGAACTTTTGGAGATGGAAGTAAAAAAAGCAAATGTTTGGTTTCTAAACAAACTACACCGTGGTTTCATGACTTCATGGTCACCACCACTGAATTCCCCCCCCCCCCTTGTAGTTTGATGTAGTAGCTCTTACCTCATCTACAGAAGCCGAGGCTGTAAAGGTGGACTGGTGTGGAGCAAATGTTCGCTGTGATGACGTTTAACGTCCGTGACAACCTCTGTCGTCTCACTGAGCCTCTCGTTAGCAACCGGCCTTCATGAAGAGATACAAAAGCTTAGAAGAAATCGTGACCAGGGTATGAACTGACGCATTTAATGTCGTAGAATAAAACGTGAGAATGTGTTAACCGCAGACATTTAACCATAAACCAATTCAAAACAGACTTGAGGACGAGGGGAGGGATTCATTCCTGCAGCACTCTATACATCTCAAGTATAACATTCAGAAGAGTGTGCCTGTTGACCTCAGGTTAGCTCAGTAACTACGTTTAAATCTCTTAAAAAAAACATTTTAAAAATAAGAAGTCTTAAGGCAGCAGCTTGGTGCTTTATATTTACGGTCTTTGCACATTTCAGACCTTTTATACTTATTGCCTGTTTTATTTTCTCTTTTAGTGTATTTGTATTATTTAATGTTTTTAACATTGTGTTTCATTTTATTTTTTATGTGCTTTTATTCTATTAGCACCTAATAAATTAATTTTAAAAAGGTGCTATATAAATAAAGTTTATCATTATTACTATTATTATTATTATTATTATTATTATTATAACTACTACACAACAATCCAACGGGGAAATCATTTCTTTGCAGTGTTGAATTGTTGTTTCTCTTCCACACTTGTCCCATATATCACACACACATAAATATCATGATGCCAACATTCAGCAGCTGCAAGATCTGCCAATCAATATTTGCTGCATTGATCAGATAGATAGATAGATAGATAGATAGATAGATAGATAGATAGATAGATAGATAGATAGATAGATAGATAGATAGATAGATAGATAGATAGATAGATACTGTTTGGCGTCAGGTCTCAGCAGCTCTCATCCTGACTGGCGGTGGTGCTGAGGGGGGGGTTGGTGTTGGGGCCGGCCGCTGTGTTGGAGGAGAAGGACGAAGGTGATGAAGACAGCTGGTCGTAGCTTGGCAGACTGTCCTGGCTGGGGAGGACATGAGAGGTCCGTCCCAGCCGTGGCCTCGGCCTGCCGCCACCCTCGCACTCGACTTCGCTCCCACCGGTGTCCCTCTGGTCCAGCAGGAAGCCCAGGGACTCTGCGATGCGGTTCAGCGTCTGGTCCATGTGTGTTATCTATTAAAGTAGATGTGACAGACTGAAGCATTCACAGCGAGACACTGACACCAGACTGGAAACAGACTAAAATAAGTTCATTTGTGAGTTCAAACAGAGGTGAAGATTATAACTGAATCAACCTGTAAGTGACAAGAGGAACTGTGGGTATTTGTCTGTTATGATTAGATCAGAATTACATCTCAAGAAAGCCTCATTGAGACAGGTCTATTTAATGATCACTTTAGTATTTGCTTTCATCTGATTACAAGTGAAACGGAAAAACATTTTATTTTTTCAACCAGAAATTAATCTTGATTGATAATTTTATACATGGTTGCAAGGCAGGAGTGTAAGGCACACTCGGGGAGGGAGGTTTGGTTTTGATTAATGATTTTTGATTTTTCTAAATAGAAGCGAAAGAAAAACAAACTCAAGGTTTCTCTTTCTGCACTGCAGAACTGGCACAAGCTGTTAAAAGTTTCATAAATGAATCCACAGTAACAGGGCCGGGCCTGACGACAGTTATAATGATGACGCAACAAAAGACGGGGTCTTTTGTTGCATTATACAAAACTATTCTCAATTTCAGTTTGTTTTGATAAGTGAAACTGACACGGTCATGTCAATATCCTCTTGAGAGAAACTTCATTTGTTATTTTTTCAGAAACTTTTAAAACTCTAAAAACAACCATGACTGTGTACGTTTCTGGCTGCTGTTTCAACAAACAAAAAGGAAAGATCTTAAACTGTACACAACAAGCGAATATCGCTCTAGTTTCACGCTGAAATGGCACAAATCCCACCTTGTCCTCCATCCTGTTGAGTCTGGACCCGATGGAGTTGGTGCCTTTGTCTCTGGCTCTGTCTTCAGATGGAGACAAGAGTCAAGTAAATAAAAAGGCAGGAGGAATTAGGACTGCGGTTTGTTCCACAGTTACTGTAATATATTTTTGAAAGAGCAGTGGAGTGATTCATTACCTGAGCCCGTCTGGAACAAAGTTATCTTCCCTAAAGACTGATCCAGTCTGAGAGAAACAATGGGAGGCTCACGTCAGATGAACGCACACTTACACACTCAGCTCTGTATTTTCTCTCTTATTCCTCTACTTGCTATTTTTTCTCTCTTGTTTGCACAAATAAATAAATAAATAAATGAATAAACCATCATCCACCATATGTCCCCATGCTTTACTCAGGGGATCCAATTCATCTGAGGCTCGTCTTAGTGAAGCCGTTTACCTTCTCTGCAGCTCCTTGATTCGCACCATGAGGTTGAGGTGACCCTGGGAGTACTGCTCGATCACATCTCGCACATCGTAAGGTTTACGAGCTTGCTGCAACAGAAAAGCAGCTGCATCGAAAATCTTCAAATTCTTCTTACACATAAAACTTTTACTTATCTCTCCTAAACATTAGACCTTTGTTTTTCTCTCGGAAAATAATGTCACTGAAGGGCCACACCAAGAAAAATAACGATAACGATAACGATGCATCCACACTGATGACCTTCTGTAAACCATCCATTAGCTTACACAAAAGAGGCAGCAGCAACGGCTGAACTCGATTTAGCTTTCTTTATTATCATTCTTAACAATAAGAATATAAATAATAAGAATAAGGAAGTCATACTCCTGAAGTAACATAAACAGCCCGTTCTTCTTTATGTATTTAATTAATGTATCACTGTATTGTATAGACCCTCATCTCACTAAGCTCCGTGTGATCCCTGTAGTTTGTTTTTCTCACCTTGTGCTATAAGTATTTGCTTTGGTATGTGGTCTATCTGAAAAAACAATAAAAGTTCAAGTAATAAATAAATAATAAGAAAACAATTTGAAAAGTAGCAGCTGCTGTGACACAGAGACGTGGTGCTGCGCGTCTTTCAGCATCACTGCAGTGAGGAGAGAGATGCTGTTTATTTTCACTTTATTGCTGATGGAAAAAAAGTCTGAACAGCCGCCCCCCCCCACCCCACCCCCGCCCCCGCCCACTGCGTGCAACAAATACACCTTCATATTCCCCAGGGCTACAGTTCAAACACTGGTTTAATTATTTTATTTCCTGAACGTGAGGCGTTCAACGTGACGCCCTGATGTGTTTTGATTAGGCTGTCAGTGTTTCTGTTGTTGTAGCGACGCCAACCATATCGTTCACCGCTGTCATCGCAGAGACGCTTGTGGTGCGGACTCTAAAACCACATATTTATTTTTATCTTTATGGTTATGTTTCTTGGTGTGGGTGGTCATGCATTAACGTTGACGGTGGCCAGGTACGTTACAGGAGCGGCGAGGTTCAGAGCTCAGATACTTTAATTCTGCACATACAGAACGTTGCAGTCACTATCACACAATAACAATATGTCAATTTCATATTTGAAACGGAACAGTTCCTGTAAGCAGCTTTAACTACACGCTGTGACAAATATTAATCTAAGATATCGAAGCTCTGCTCACTCATTTGTTCAGTTCACAAACTGTTGCAACACTCGCTGTTGCAATCAGTGCGGCTGCAATCAGTGTAAGCTCAGCCTCTTTACACCTACACCAATCTCTGCGGCTGAGCTCGGTGCTGAGTGTAGACACCAAATAACAACTGTAACTGTAATAATAAATCAATTTCAGGTTAATTGGATTACAAAAATGTCAACATTGAAAAACATGCAAGTCAATAAAAAAACTGTTTTTCAGTCTGCTCAAAGTACACAGGGGTTAGCTGATTTTACGTGAAGTTTTTTTTATGTATAAAAATCTGTTATTTTCCAATAAGGAAATGTTGGTTTCAATAAAATAGTGTCTTACTCACCTGAAAATTTCTCTTGGCCACAAAATAGCGCATTCTCTGGATCACCCGGATGGCTTTTCGGTGCGACTCTGTCAATCTGCGGATAAGAGTTTCACAGGAATGTTCTCATGTTACACTGAGATTTCTCCTGAGGAAATGTACCGATATTACTGGAATTTATTTTTTAAATTAATTTTTTTCTTATAAAAAGGAAGTGTCAGAGAAACCAGCTTGAGACCTCGGCCTTATTTTCCTGGTGTGAAAACAGGTGTCACTGAGAAAAAGATGAAAAGATGGTTGACGCGGCCTTCATACGCAAATTCTATCAATTTAGTGGAAATATTCAGTGCAGACTTTTTATACACAGTGTGTGAGTGCGGCGCAGTTACGTGATTACTTCTCCGTCCACATCAAAAGCTTCTCCCTCACGACTCGGCTCCCTTTGAGTTACAGTATAAGAACAAAGGACGGGCGATTGTCGGGGTCAGTGGGACTGTGGAGTGACTGTCGTACGTTCAGTCTCTTGTTATGTTGTGCGGATCATTAAGGATCTATTCCTCATCAGGGGTCGTAACCCCGGCGGAGTGCGTGAGGGAGAGAGCAGTGAGCTCTTTGTCGGATCCAGTCGGGTGAATGAATGTAGAGGAACAAGGTCTGCGTGTCTCATAATGGACTTTTCACAGGAAACACAATGGGCTGATTTTCAAATGCAGCTTTTCATAATGTTCTTCATAATTAGCACCGTATCAAGAAATGTCAACAATGTGCTCTGTGAGGTGTCAAAGAAACACCCCCCATCACCACCACCACATTTATCTCATTTATTAACATAAATACACTAGGTCAGAGGTCAGCGATAGGCGGCCCCAGACGCAGTGGGTAATAGTGGGATGGAAGCGGGAAGGAAAAGGGAAAAGGACGTGTTAACGCGGTTCACTTGCTCAGAAGTGTTGAGATTGTTTATTATAAAAATGGTTGAGACTGTTCGGATGTGAAATGAAAGAAAAAGGAAAGTGAAGCTACACTTTTCAAGCCTATTTCATATCTTTAAAATGAAGCACTTTATTCTAAGATGCTAATTTTTCAGACACTCTCACAGTTGCCGGTCTGGTGGAAATTGTGTCTTAATATTTCAATTTAAATTTCTGTCACTATCAAGGAGAGGTGTGTTGCCTTGGCTTCCTGCCCCCTGCGGTGCATAATGTGTGTTTTCTCCTGCTTATGGTCTAAAAAAAACAAAACAATACAAACTGAGAAACAAAGAAGCTGTAAACTTCTGCCTCCCGCCTTCCTTCCTGCTTCACTTTAGAGGCCATGTCTGCTGTCTTGTTACTTGAAGTGCGGCGGTTTTGTTAGAACCCCTAAATATCTCAATAACTCTTCATTTTACCAAAAACAAACGCAGCAGCTGCAGAAATACGACTTCTGTGAACTATCCATCTTCATAACGAGCTGGAGGCAATGTGAAAAATTTGGAATTGAATCTGCGATTCAGTTTAAAAATCCAAGACTTCACACGGAAATCTGACAAACTTTAAGCGAAGCACCTGCTTCAAGCTTTTTAAACGCTGGGTTTTTATCGTCATGGACAAAACAGCCAGTTGTATCTCATAATGGCTCAATTTAGCATGGGATTTGATGCGGCAGTGCTCTGTGGAAACAGCTGGTTACGTATTTTGGAGTCAGCAGAGCACAGAGTGATCTTTGCCAACATCGCTGCTGCATGAAATTCCCACTCTGCATCATTACCCTACTGTTCAGAAAGTAAGTCCCACAGGTCAAAACTGTCGCTCCATTTGTTTCACTTACTGTGCTCTTACATTACACTGCAGTTACTTAACACTCATTTCCTCATATTACTCTCAGTCTCTCGCTGGGCGAGTGCCTCAGCAAGCACAAGTGCTTTTCCCGACAAGAGAATCATTACCCAGCAGACAGGAGCGCTCTGGGGTTTGCCGTATGGCAAAGGTTAATTACAAATAACTAAAAAAAAAATATATATATATATATATATATATACACGACGTACACTCTCACATGCAACACAGCATCAATGCAACGGCAGAGCAGCGGTTGAACTCACTGTGACACTGAGGCGGCAGGAGCCAGTTCACTGTCTCGCTCTGCCTCCAGCTCCAGGTCGTCTGCAAAGCTGCAGTTCCTCCGGAGGGGGCCGGGGGAGTGGACATCCAAGAGGCAAGGGTTTCTTTTTACTGCACGTTCGCGCACAGACACACACACACACACACACACACAGTTATCAATGTATCTGTGCATCCGGAGCTGCCTCTGTTCCAAGCTGGTTTGTTGTTTGTAGCTTTGGCCTTGGAGTTATTGAGTAATTCATTTAATTGCTCTGTCTTGCTGCATCTATCCCACTACGCCCAACGGGCTAAGAGAAACAAATGAGCCCATACGTGTATGTTGCATCAGCTCACTGACCTCAAAGTCACAGACACAGTTAACGGCTGAAATAAATACGAAAAAGAAAGTGCTGAAGTAGCTTCTCCAAATCCCTGATGATTTGGGGAAGGCCTCCTCATTGTGGGAACACCGTGACCTTGTGTGACCAGTGACCCCGTCTATGCATAGCTCTGTTTTGGATTATGACAGAACTGTCATTTTCAGATGGGAAAAAAGATATCAGAGTTTACAGACACAGTTATGTGGCCAACACTGAGGAAGGTGGTTTTTTATTATGAGGGTCTGAAACGTCACACGCTGATACTGTGGTTGCCACACAAAACACACGACCAATCGGCTACATGTGTATTTTCGGCTGTGTTGTCTCATGCTGTGGAGGAACTGATGTAAACTGTAACAGGGCAATAAAAAAAAACGTGTTACTTTATACTTGTGAGAAACCTAACTGTGTGCAGAGAACATGTCTGTGTTTTTGAGGGAAAGAAAAAGCTGGGTCAGGTGTGAGTTTCAGTTTCATAAACAAAGAAAAAAGACACACACACACACACACACACACACACACACACACACACACACACAGGGATAGGGATATTTTAAAATCTGGATGTATCCAATCATCTGAAATCCATAACTGCAGCTCCACATGTTCTCACCATCTCCAGCTGTGACAGATCTACAGCAGGTTGCCGTGGGAGACTGTGTGGGAAAACCTATTAATTGTTTGAACCAGCAAATGCAGTGTGCTGAAACGACACCAGCTCGACACAGTGTGACACAGCTGGTCTTATGCAAGATTTTGACGAGTGGAAATAAAAAAAAACAATGCAGTGTGAAAATGCATCTGATTTAAATGGACTTTGAGTGGAATGATGGGTTGTGTCGACCAGGACAGATGTCAGGTGTCACGACAAGTCCCGAACAGGCCGACTGATATTCCTCCATTACAGAGCACAGAGAGCTGCATTAGCCACTTGCTGGGTTTGTGTGATACTTCACACATAATGACCAAAAAAAAAAATAATTTTCCTGATACATAATCCGAACTTCTATTAAACATCTACTACAGATCCACCTCACACCTCCACCGATTAGTCCTCCTCTTCCCAGTGCTTGAGGTATTAAGCTAACACTACACCTGACACCTGAACATGTGGTGCAGCTTTTCACCTCTGGAGAGACACGGCAGCAGAAGAACACTGGTAGCAACAGGGTGGCGTTACCTGGAGGTGGCGAGCTGAACTGCAGGGAAGATAAAGACGTCCAGGACTGCTCGCGATCTGAAGCGCACACGGAGAGAAACACAAACATGATGACGGCATCGATGGTGACACAGGGGCATCAATGACAACAACAATGTTAGTCAAACACTGTGGTGCCTAGATTCCAATCTTATTATCATTAGTTGTATAATAGAGAAAACAACGTAACACGACCACACTCTGATAGGAAGAAAACATGCCGTTATAGTAGAAAAACAAAGTGAGTGCACAGGAGACTGTTACAGTAGAGAGTAGGAGAGGACAGTGAGTTGTACTAAGGACATGTGCAGGACATGGACACTAACAGCAGCTCACCACATCCTCCCAGAGTGTGGGATCCAGCTAAGACCGGGTCCACAGACAGAACGCCAAGGGCGGGAAAAAGGCACAAGCCAGGAAACAGGCAGTTAGGTTGATTGAAAGAAGCAGATTAAGAGACACAGATTAAAAAAAAAAGGGCAGAAAGCTAAGAGACGATCATATAACAGGAAAAGAGTTTGTCAAGTCACCAAATCCACAAGAGCAGGACACTTTTATTTATTAAAAGTATTCTTCTAATAAAACCTTATAAAGCGGCAGCCGGGCGTAAGCAGCAGCAGTAGTAGTGCTGAACTGATTACCACCGTACGTTTCCTGCATCTGTATCATGTATCCATATTTCCCCGTATCTGACTGTATCCAGCAGCTGCTGAATGTTGGCATCATTTATCATTTATGTGAAACCCCTCATCAGAGCATGTGGGATATGCGGGACGCATGTGAAAGAGAAACGACGACTCAACAGTGTGGAGAAACGGCGGACAGGGCTGTCCATAAAAAGACGGTTAAGCCCTGAACATGTTCCCCTCGCTGTTTTCACTAAGTTCCAGTATGTTTCACGGTCACAGTAACACCCTGCGCTGAAGGCAGACTCATTGGTTGAAAGAAAGTTGGACGGATCACACTCACACTGTTGAGGCAGCAGTACTGCATGTTGTGTCAACCGCTGGAGTTCGTAGCTCATCAATGCAACCTCACGTTTTATTGCTGCAATGTGCTCATCCATCTTTAATGTTTGGACTCGCCCCCCCCCCTCCTGTTGCTACGACTGAAGTTCAAATTAAACATTTTCTTTTGGTCATTTCTTTTCTATGCGTGACATTGCGAGTGTTTATTCTGATTTTAATGAAACCCCGTACATGACCTCAGAAATTCATTAACTGGTTTAACATCAAAATGCATGAGTCCTATCTACTGTAACATCCATGCAACAGCCGAGACGTGTATTCTTAAATACGTTGCGCAGTAAACAGAGTTTTTTTTCACACTGATTAAAGTGAACGTACTGCATCAGAGATAAGCACACTGTACAGCTTGTCCCATTTTTTAGTACCTGCTGTGCCCACAGTGCTGTAAACATCCGAACTCAGCTCCTTCCCACTGTCAAACACAGAGTCGAAGGTGATGCTGGGAACTGTGGGAGAAGTCAGACCGTTGTCCTTGTCGGTGCTCTTCAACTTCCTCCTTATCTTCACCTGCCAAAGAAACACAAACACCTTAGCACAGCAAAGCGTGTCTCCGCGGAGGGACATGGGCATTTGTTTGACATTTGAGAGACACAACAGCCGGCGTTTCCATCGCTGTTCTGTGCAACAAGAAAAAAAAAAAAAAAGAAGCTTTTTCTGGTTAGAAAATCGACAAAAACACAACTGCGAATAGTGTGATGTTATGTGAACAAAGCTGGGTTTTCTCCTTTTGCGATATCATTCCAATTATTCGAGACGACGGATTTCCAGCGGCCTGCCTCTCGGTTGCGCTGGCTACCTGAGGGATGATCCGGCGGGCGCCACGACTCCAATGCGAGAAAAGTGTTTCCGTTTCAGTTTTATTAAAAACATTGCTTTGAGGATTAGTCTGAAAAACCGCCTCATGCAAACGTATACCTTTTGTTTTTTATTGTTACAGAAACAGTAAGTTTTGTATATATATATATTTTTTAAACACTAATCTACATTCACATTTACATTTACATTTACATATACTCATTTTGCATCTTTAAGGTGAGGCCCTGCATGTTTTGGAGGGAACACTTTTGACATGTTAACAACATTTTAAAATGTATGCATCAGAGCGGGCTTCGTCTCGTACCCAAGGAACAGTCATCTGGAATAATCAGTATCAATATTAAACTGCTGCTGGCTGTTATTTCTTCCCAGTTCTGCCTTAATGTCTTAAGATTTTTTTATTTTTCCCCACACACTTTTCATACCAACACTGACAACTATCACAGACAACACAAACTACAGCCTTCACAAATACCATAAGGTTGAGTCAACACCTCTCCAAAACAGTTTTCACAACAAAAAAAAATCAAACAAACAAACACACATTACAACCTTCATGACAGCAGGATTTACAGTATTGCAGGGCTCTTGCTTCAGACTGCATTCGTTTTGCCTTGGTGCGCTTAATAACCTGCAAACTCAGAGTGAGACGCAGCTACGGTAAAATCTATAGGATGATTACTAACCGATTTCTTGGGCTTGGGGGAGGTCAAAGACGAGGCGGGAATGTTGGATCGCTTCTTCAAAAACATCTTGAATGTGGCCGAATCAAAGTTCTCCACTGCAAAACATCTCCATGAAGTCTGGAGGGGCATAAAAATAGCAAGAAATTGGTCGGACAGGATGCAAGAAAGAAAGTAAGAAAGTAAGGGGCTACATGAAAGGATGGTCTCAGTAATGAGACTGGGGTTCTGAGACAATCCGGCACCCCCGCTGTACTGTGGTTTTGTTTCCGCATTTTTTTGGCCAAATACCTGAATGAGGCAAGCAGCTGCAGGGATCTGTCTGTTGAAGTGTTTCTGTCTTTGCTTCTGCTGCACCTTCAGGGCGAAGCCCGAGCCTAAGATTCCCTGTGAACAACAGCACAGCAGAGATATTGCTCATTAATTCACTTCGATCAGCACACACACACACACACACACACTTACAGGCAGCAGCGTGATCCACAAGACAGAAATACACACACAGTTAATTCAGAATTAAAGAATAATGTGCCGGTTAATGCTGAAACATTTAAGTCTATTAGTCAGTTTGTTCATTCACAGAAATCAATAGTTTAAAATGTTAATCACACAAGTCTTTACTCAACTAAATATATAATCGTCGGTTACAGTTTCTGAAATATGAGGGCTGCAAATTGAAAAACTATTTTAGATATTTTATACACTACACTGTGAATATTGAACCAAACCATAAAGCAATAACTAATGATGGAGACTGTATTTCTCAACTTTGAGAGATATCTCATGCAGGACCCGAGATGTTGCACGGGGCCGGCCCTCGCTATACAGGAAACATTAGAGAAGGATCAATAATTTGAACACAGCAGGCAGCAACACTGTGAACAGATCTAAGACACCTCAGCCTGAAATATGCCGCGGCTCAGCAGTTTCTCTTTCCACTTACTGCGGGCAGGGCGAAGAAGGAAATGGCGAAGACTGAGAAACAGGACGCAATGGTCTTTCCAATCCAGGTTTGTGGCACTTTGTCTCCGTAGCCGATGGTCGTCACGGTAACCTTTGAAAAAACACACGGGAATGAATACGAGGAGCTTCACTCTGGTAGTTTCATCCTGTAAAAACTAACATACATGTTCAGCACCTTAGCTTAGTGCGTTAGCCTAATTAGCAAAAGTTAGCCTGCTACCACTTAACACAAAGTAGAACTGAGGCTGATGGGAACAGCCTTTGTTTTGCAGATAGATAGATAGATAGATAGATAGATAGATAGATAGATAGATAGATAGATAGATAGATAGATCTGCAATCTAAAATTGGGAAGAATAATCGCTAATCAGATTATGATTGAAAAAACAGTGAAAAGTAAAAGCACTACTAACACAGCTTTATGAGGATTCTTTTTTCAAACGTGTGTTTTACTGGTCAGCACGCTTCACTTGGACTTGACCTATAAGACCGAATAACAGCTGTGGCTGGTTTACGACCAATCTGCTTTGAGTCTTTACCGAAGTGCACGAGGCCTCTGTGTTCTCGCTGACCCTCCAACTACAACTCTGACCTTTTTCACTGCTCCGACTCTCATTTACATCTTTACGCACTTAGAGTGCCCAATGCAGCCTGTAAGTGTGTGAGCGGACTCAAACCTGATAAAACTCCTGTGTGTAAATACTGTAAATGAAGTTGCTCGGAATCTGCTGTGTGTGTGTGTGTGTGTGTGTGTTTGTGTGTGTGTGTGTGTGTGTGTGTGGTTTTTTTTAATATCAGAATCCCTGAAGTTTCCAAGAAGCAGAGTGGGTTGTGACTTACTGTCTGAAAATAAATTTTCTTCCTGTATTTTCCACACTACTTGTTTTGCAGCTTGTATTAACGGCCCACAAGATGGGCCCAAGGGGTTTGACACAACTCCTACTGTAACAACAGTAGTACAGATAAAACACAGTCTATATTTGACCTTTCACCTGCCAAAATACTGTTTACAACAAGTCAGTGTTTTCTGGAAAAATCCCACTTTTGGCAAAGATGAAGAGTGTTACTAAAACAATGTGTAGAAGAAGAGTCAATCAAACTTTCTCTGAAACCGAAACATAACACAGTTTATGTCAGTGTTGATATGATTAAAAAATAGTTCTGTGATATGTTCATGTGATATCGGAATCAATTCTTATCATTGACAGTTATTTCAAGTAATAATAATTTGTCTTAAATTATTTACACGAACTTAATAAATAATTGAAATAAGTCATATTTATGTAAATACTAAAGTTGACTTAATTAACTATTAATTAACGGAATAGTTTGACATTTTGTCAAATATGCTTTTTTGCCTTCTTGCTGAGGGTTAACTGAGACCATTCATACCTCTCTCACATCTGTCAGTTAATTATGAAGGTACAACCAGCAGGTGATTAGCTTAGCTTAGCTTAGCATAAAGACTGAAAGCAGGGGGAAACAACGTTTTTTGTACAGTTTAAACAAACAAGACTCGACATGTGAATAATTGAGCATTAGAGGTGCTGGAGGCAGAAATTTTTTTTTAACCTTTGGACAAAGCCAGGCCAGCTGTATCCGCCTGGTTCCAGTCTTTATGCTAAGCTAAGCTAACGGTCTCATGTTTGCAGCTTGATATTTACCGTACAGACATGAGAGCTCAATCAATCTTCTCATCTCAAGTGTACTTCCCAAAATGTCAAACAATGGCATTAACAATAGTGACTGGACCAGGTCGGACACACACACACACACACACACACACACACACACACACACACACACACACACACACACACACACACACACACACACACTTACCACTCCCCACCACAGAGCATCAGCGTAGTTTCCAAACTCGACGGAGCCGCTGCTGTCGACCGCATCTTTCTCTGCCAGGTAGACAAAGTACGAGGAGAAGATCAGGCTCAGGAAGCCGATGTATAAGGTGGTGATCAGCTCCTGAAATGCACACGAACACATGAATGACACATTTCAAACTAGATAAACAGCGACAGGGTCATTTCAAAGAGCGCAATAACGTGAGATGATAACATGTGTGTGTGGCTGTGTCTCGCCTGGTGTGGCTGCGTTTGCTAATAACATGACATATGGACGTGAATATTCATGTACATGTGCTGTGGATATGATGATTAAAATCTTTTTTTGGAGTATTCTGCTGTCGCCGCTGTCCCTTGTGTCATTCAACTAAAGCTCAGTAACTTTAAGCTCAGTGGCTACTCATCACTGATGTTGTACTTAAAGGATAAGGCTGGCATCTTCCTACTTTCATTATACTTTTGCTTTCATCAACAAATATTGTGAAAAGACCAAAAGGAACAATTCATCAGTCAATTTTTTTTTTCTGTCCGACTTCCTCACCCTGTCTGTGGCTCTCCGCTCTCACGCTCATTTGATCCTACCGAACACATAAATCTTTCAAAACGCATCGCAAATATAAAGTTTCATTTATTTAAAAAGGCTCAGAAATGTCTTAAAACAGCTGGGCATCGCTGGCACAGTCAGAGACGCTACGATTGTAGTTGCTGACTGCCTTTATAATTGGCGTCTATTACACAGACTCTATGTACGTTTCATTCAGCCGTAGGCCTGGTTTCTTGAATTGTGTTTGTTCAAAACAAATATGCAAATCAGAACATGTTTCATGTCTGAAATGAACAACATCAGAGCTCACATCCTGTCTGCAAAGCTGCATTCTTAATCATACAACCCGTCACTTTGAGGCTAATTTCTAATAACTATTCTTTTAGCCTAAATTCAACTGAGGGAATATATTTTGATGACGAAAACGTCATCAAAACACGAAAGTGTCATTGATGGCTAAAACTGAACAAAAAAGACGAGACTTAAATGTCCAGATATTTAGTCGATTAACTTTGACTAAAAATAACGAGGATGAAATTGACTTTTCTCAGGACTAAGACTAAATCTAAAATCAGCTTAGAAAATAACTACTTCATTATTTATGTATGTATGTATTCCTTCTCTTACAACTGATGAGAAAGTGTAACAAAAAATATCTCTACTATTATATGCTTCATGCAGCTACAAAGGAACCGTCGGTGCAACTGAGTTTAAACTGAAAGTTTGTCCATTATAATCACTAATCATTGCAGTGCTTTTGACTGAATTCAGACGGGCATTAAATCATTATAAATTAGTTTGAATCCCAGACAGTGGGCCTCTCCCAGTGTATTCAAAATAACTATGAAGCATGTTATTGCCGATTCAATAAGGAGCTGTCTGATTTTCTCAGGAGGTCTAATTGGGCTTAGCTCTTATCCTGTCTGACTGTAATTGGACTACTGATTTGTGAAGAGCTCTTTAAGTGAATGTTCTCTTTGCACTCACCTACTACGTGATTTAAGCCGTGTTTAACCACTCAGTCTGCAGGAGCACACAAATTGGAATGAATTCCTGAAGAGCAAAACTCTCTTATTTGTGTCTCGGCCCAAAACTATCAGAGCGCCTCGGAGGAGCAGCAGCAGATTATTGCAACTACGATGTGGGAAATAGATGTATCTACCTCCCTTGAAATAACACAAGCGTCTCCTTACATTACCCTACACAAATAGTGCCTGCGGTCCATCGGTACTCAGCAACTGTGGCTGTATGTCTTCATGTGACTCCACAAATTTGTATTAAAAGTTCGGGAAACAATTAAGGGCATCAAACCTTTGGCGGTGAATGTGACAGCCTCTAACTAATTCAACCAACATCACCGCTCGCATCCTATCGGTGCACGATTCTCGGAAATAGCAGCTTTTTTATGCCTTCGGGTGCATCGTCCTTGACTCACGACCAAAGGTTTAGTAGATGTGTTGCTGCTGCTGTGACCTGGCAAACACGTTCAGGAGACGCGCGCCTCCCATCTGCCAGCGAGGAGCAACTGTGCAAATTGTGTTTACAAGCCACAAGCACGAGAACGCTACTCAGTGTGTATTTAAATGCTGTAACAGCACAAAGGCTGGATACTGATTAGAGTCGGTGAAACTCCACTGACTTTAACATCTCCAGCTGTTGACACAGAAGGGCTGCAGCTTCTCGTGTCTGTGTGAGAGAACGGCTGAACACAATATTCAGGTCGTGTGTTGACTTAAATGCAACAGTCAGATAATCACCGAGGAACAAACATTGGAGGCACAATGCACCCGGGTCTCGCTGGTTGGTGGCAATTCGACTGTAAACTGTACTGACTGTCCTATGAGTGCACACTGTACTTCCCCTTAGGGCTGCTGGGACTGTATGGAGCCTTAACAGAGCGTATACTCTGGAGCCAAAGAGGTTGCAATGCGAAAATGGGATAGAGAACAACATGAACATGTGGTGTGCTGTATTAACGCCTGTCCCAAACCGGCTATTTCACTATTTAAACCCTTAAATAGTCTACACCAGTGCTGACGTGCTATGTGGGAAACACAGGTGTCAGGTGGATAATGGAGGGAACACATACATTTAATTTCCATCTTGCTACTTTGTGATATATTATTTTGGTCATGGACAAAGCCTAAAAGATTAAAGGTGAATTATGGGAATTTTTCTGAACTCTCTCTAACCTTTGCTTGTTTCCTCTGAAATATTAGATACGTTCATCTCTTTATGTCACAAAAAATATTTCAAATGAAGCAATCTGAGCAGGAAAACACACTCTGTTGCTTTGTTTTAGAGGGTCACAAGCTAAAAAGGTTGAGAACCACGGGGCCAAACCTTTGCTATGCTTTCTCTGCGCTGCCTCCTCATGGTGAGTTCATTACCACAAGACGTGGAGTTAAATTACTCTAAAATTAAAAGTAAACAAGACGTCGTCCACTAGCTTAATGTATTTAACATGTCTTACGCCCATATGCACATTTCACTCAATAAATGAAGAATGCATCATCTATTTTATTGCGCATGGTGAATGCTCGAGGCACGTTATGCTTTTACAAGGAAACAGCAATCATCATCTATCAGTATCGATGGTGACAGATGTTTCATGGTTACGGACGCAAAACGGTAAGTGCATCCCAAAAATCCCAAAGTGCCTCCTACAGCCACAAATAGTATACGCTGCATTCATGGAGCGGCTGTAAAACAGGAAGAGCAGGAAAAACATCCCATTCAGAGGTGGTTAGTGCTGGTGCTAAACAGGGAGTCGCACCAGATAAACACCCTGAATTAGCTACTTGTGTTGTGTTACGAATTTAGTTAATTACCAGGTGAAACCAGAAACAGTGTGTGGCTCCTATAAAATCAGCTGAATGGATTATATTAGTGTTAATATTGGATTTTATGTCTGTGTCAGAAATTCCTGATATCTCCTTCTTATCTCTGATGGAGCTTTTCCCCCTGGGAGATCGTCTCCACGATACGACGTCACCCACAGGTTTCTGAAGGACGGTTTTGCAGCTCAGAGTGAGCTGCTTCGCCGTCCTGGCAGTGCCTGACTCCGCCCCTAACTCCTGGCTAACGCAAAAGTGGACAAAGAGGTGGGGCGTGTGTGGAGCTGAGGCTTTAGTGAATGCTGGCATGTGGCAAGAATACGCTCACCCACCCGTCACTCAAAACAGCCACGCCCTCAATTATTCATAACTTTAAGCCTTAATGAAATTCAAACAGGTGAGTTATATAAACAGGTGTCATGAAGGAGGAAATTAGCTCTAGAGACCAAAACTGTTTTTTGTACCAGGCTGTAAACATGTGATATTTTAACATGGGAGTCTATGGGGACTGACTCACTGTTGGAGCCAGACTCTAGTGGCCATTTGAAGAACTGCAGTTTTTGGCTTCATTTTCCGGCCGCTCGTGTGAATGCAGCATTATTTCATGCAGAGTGACACCCCAGAGTGGATGGCTACTTAATTGGTGGATATCGGTTTGGGAAAAAGCCCCAGTACCTCCCCGCACCGACTCTCCCTTTCTGTACAGCTGACGTCAGTGACTGTTGATGACCAGCATCAGCCAGGAGTAATGTAGTCAAGCAGCCAAGGCCAATACAAGGAAACACAGTAGGTGGTACAAGATGAGCAACATCCCTGATGCTCTGCTCACTTTCATCACTCTCTCTTTTTACACAGACACTGCAGACAGCTACTGTGGCCAGTGGGAATAATCACAGCCACCTCTGTGTCTCAGCTGAATGAGACCCCCGGAGGAAGACAGCCCTCTCTAGCTGAGTCCATAACCCTAAAAACCTAACCTATTATACAGTAGCTCTTTTCTTCTAGCTCTCTGCTGACTATTCTTTTATCCGTATGATGTATTTCCATTTTAAGACTCTCCCTCTGTACTGCATAGTAATGAAAAATAATGGCCTGCGTGATGAGGAGAGGCTGAAAATCCCCTGAGAGAAAGCTTCCAGCTTGCTAATAATAATCAGAAGCCCAGATGGTTTTGGACCTGACATGTAATGTGTATTTAAAGCTGTTTGTGTACCTGCCGATGGATGAAGACAACAGAGCCCAGTAGACGCCACGTTCCTCCCTGTCGGTCAACATGAAGCATACGCAGGATCTGCAGGAAGCGAATCCCTCTGGAAAATAACAAACATGTGCTTAGACTTGTATTCAGACCAAATGCATGTAGATGTGTATGAACACAAACACTATAAAGTAAAAAAGTATGTGGGCAACAAAACATGACAGCCATATGGGATTGCTTAAGATCTCATTCCAAAACCATTTACTGCTATAACTGTTTCCTCTCCTCTGGGAAAGCTTTCCCCGACACATTAGAGCCTGGCCGCTCACTTTGCTCCCATTCAGCCCTAAGAATGTAAGTGCGGTCGGCCACTGGTGTCAAACAGTGCAGCTGAGCTCACAGTTGGCCTGTTCATCCCAGAGTTGTTGGATGGGGTAGAGGTCAGGGCTCTGTGCAGGTCAGTCTGCTGTGTCTTCAATACCAAACTGTCAAAACCATTTGTTTATGTGCCATGCTTTATTCAGGGGGGCAGGGGACCTTCACAGAACTGACGCCACAAATTTAGAGGCGCACTTTTATCTATAATAACTTCCTTCGCTTTAGAAGGAGATATCAGGAATTTCTGATTAAAAGATTACATCCATGGCAAAAAAACTGGAGTATCAAAATGGATAGCTGGTTAGCAACAGGAAGAATCGAGAGGAGAGAAAAGTCAAGAGACAGATGCTGAATCGACAAGTCATACAAAAAAGAAAAATTGAGCCTCCCCTCCTTTCAGTTCAATCCTGAATGTTTCATCATCATCATTGAAATAAGAAGTGCTCTGAGAACCTATTATTTAGCCTCCATATTGTTATGTGGTTGGATGTGGGCTGCCAAGTTGAGATTTTCAATTAGGCCATGAGTTGGAGAAGGTTGGAAACCACTGCTCTAGTGTTACAATATCCCTTAATTGGAACACAACCATTGAAAAAACAGCCCCAGAAGAACACAAAGTGTCTTGGCATCAAGCAGCTGCACACCTGCAGAAACACTGTCACTTACCTTACAGCAGAGGTGGCAAACACTTGGCCTTTGGAGCCAACCGACAGCACAATTATTGAGGCAACAACTACAATCAGATCTGTAGAGATGGAGAATAAGAGGCTGTAAGTATAAACGTACAATAAACATGCAGATGTTCAATGTACAGAGGTGAAGCAACAAGAGCAAGTGTTGTCCTCCATAGAGTGCAGATAATATAAAGTAGAGGGAAATTGCTCTATTAAGCAATTATCATTGGTTTTTCATAAATTATTCTATAAATTAATTGGGGTGAGAGGGGTTACAAATAATATCAACACCAATATGCATTGTTCCATATTTAAAAAACACCTGAAGGTTCTAATTTTAGGAATAAAAACCAACCTGAAGGTAGAGAAAATATTGCAGTGACAGTTTTAATTTCATGCTGAATTTGTCTGAGATATCTCGTTTTGGGATGAGGCCCAGGATATATGATAGATATTGTTTAAATAGTGTGTGTGGGTGAGCAGTGATAGGTCTCTTTGTGTGCATGTGTATGGGTATGTGTGTGTGTATAGGGGTTGTGCTCCCACCTATAATAGATATTGGCTTCCTGGCAAAGCGCAGTCGGCCCCAGATGCCAACATATTTACTGCGGCAGCCTGCTGACCAGAGGCGGACGAAATATTCCACACCGAAGAACACAACAAGGACGATCTCCTGTCAGAGAAATGTGGAACAAACAGAACAGACGAATGAAGGAGAACGACAGGTGGTGAAAGAAAAAAACAAAACAAACATCAGATGTTGTTGCAGGTTATTCAGTGCAACAACACCTGAACAGCTGCTCAGACTTCAGCAAAGTGCACATGAAAAACAGATATGGTTGAATTATAGATGCAACTGTTGCACAGCTGTTCCGCAGCTTCTCACACAAGCCTGATCATGTCACCACAACTTATTAAGGGTTATTGATTCTCCTTCCACAGATACGCCATTTGTCACTGTTTCATTTGTACCACAACATTGACTAATTCCTTAATTCACCTGCTAAATGTTCAGGGACCTGATAGATGAAAAAAGTGACTATGTATCCTGACAACTGTTGGTAACATTTATTTGGTATTTCATTCATTTTGAAGGGGAACTTCACTGATTTTACACGGGTGGCTCTGATAAATTGATAAATTGCCTGCAGACATTCAACCCCCTGAGTCTGAAGTAACTGTGACCTTTTTTTCTGTTTTAAACTAGACACATGATCTTTCCTTAACATTACCCCAGTGTGCGAGTGCTAACATAACCATGAAAAGTGTAATAATCAGAGGTGGACGAAGCACACAACTCATTTACTTGAGTCCAAGTATAGATACCCCCAGTCAAATATGCTTTTAAAAATACTTAAATATTTAAAAGTACATTTTTTATGTCAATGCATTGTTGTATTGTATATAAATTTACAGAACCTCATGACTCTGAAACAACCTACTGAAGCACTGACTGACTGCAAAACCTGTAGAATAAAAAGAATTTCAGAATATGATACAAAGCCTGTAGAAATGGATATATCATATAAAAACACATCGAATCAACAAAGAAGTGCAGCCAGCTATTATAGCTGTCTGTTAATCAAAGAAAAGTTACCTCAACGTGCTTTCTCAGGTTGCAGATTTTTGTAGGCAGTGATGAAGCTTGGTTGAGGTAAACACAAGCAAACATTTAAAACGAAAGGAATCTCTCTTTAAGTCTAAAATTTCAAACATGGACACGAAGAAGAATCTTCTGACTCATCTCAATCTAAAGTTGCCATTGTTAGGACACTGACAGGTTCAAACATGACTGACAGTGTAGGAGTCAGCTGTGATTGTTTTTCTCCTGTGAGGAACACAGTGTGTGGTTTATCACATTTTCAAAATAAAATAATATAAATTCCTCTGACTAAAAGCCCTGCCTCAAAGAAACAGTACTTCATAGAAATGTATTGGAGTCAGAAGTACAATATTTCTCCTTAGAGCGTCATTACTCGGCGACCGTTTGAGCTACAGACGTGCCGTTTGTTTCTCCTTAAACTAGAGAATCGGCGCTGTCTAACAAGCTCATCGATCTATTCACTAACATTAAAAGGAATTAGGAAATATATGGAGTAGTTTTACCGTTTTTTCTGGTATATTGCTGCTTTTCTCTCTCTGCGTTTATATAGTTCGATTCTCATCCGCACTCTTTGCCACTGACGTCTAAAGTCACGTCACTTAATTCGACATTCCCATTCGCTCCCGCGGGCGATGTCACAGCCAATCAGAATGTCTGATTTAGAGGTTTAGCTGTCAGTTACCACCACAGACATAGAGGATCTTTGTTATCACCTTATGAAGCCCCGCCTACTTGCCCCACTTCCGGTTCGAACGCGTTTATTTTACGACTTCCGCCAAAAAAGCCGAGTGAAAGAGGAAGTCTAATCAGGGCTAAATATCCGAGCTAATAAGCAGTAAACGGCAAGTAAACTTTGTTTTTAGTTACGTGGTATAAGTATTAGTTGTAGTGGTGGTAGTTTGTGTTAAATTAGCCGACATGGATAATGTGGTCACTTCATGGGAGCACACTTCTTCGGCGCTGCATCAGTCGGATGGTGTAAATGTATTGCACTGCCGGAGTTGAGGGCGATGTTGAAAACATTCTTGCTGTAAAAACACCCGTCGTTTCCTCCAATTATTGTGACACCCTCTAACGGAGCAAATAATGCTCGTCATTTTCGGAAAAATAGCTAGCAAACAGGTCCGACCAACTCATTTTAAGAGAGCCAGGCTAGCTGTTTCCCCCTATCTACAGTCTTTTTGCTAAGCTAACAGCTTCATATTTACCATACCACATCTGGATTACTTCCTGATTTCTTTCTTGTTCTTATTCTCCCCCCTAATTATTTTAAATTTGTGTGACATTAAGTGAAACAAGCCACAACAGCATGTGTCCAATGCTAAACATGGAGCTCATACAATTACAGCTTCTCAATTAAAGTGTCTTTATTTCAATTCCATTCAAGTTTCCTCCACTGCTCCTTGAGGACAAATGGATTAAAAAAAAATCAATTACAGTTTACAATTACACCAACATGTGGAAATTAATGAACTGGTGTGAATGAGCATGCAATTACCTCCTCATGTCTCTTAATAATTGACAAGCGTTTGCAAATGAAGGTGTCTGAAGGCAAATGACTAACCTTTCTTAGATTTTTAATGGTGACATGATCCTTCTGCAGTGAATGATGAGAGCAACAAACGGGAGGATTCAGGCTGAAGATTGTACAGCAGGAGACGTTTTTCAGCTGGGAATTATTGGAGGTGTTTTTCTTCATTAGAGCCAAAGATTAAAACATCAGTGAATATAAAATAGCGCATCTTAGAAAATGAAATTTGGATTAATAATATGTTAAATTGTGCTTTTTGGAAGCTAATATGTAAAATATTGTTAATTTATGCACTAAGGAGTTCTGCTTCAAGGTTGAAAGGCAAATGGTCTATTGGAAAAAGCAACACATAAACAAACAGGAAGGGAGCAAAGACAGGCGCAGAGGAGAATTCAAACAGCTGCTTTTAGTTGAGCTTTACTGTCTATTCTCACCCCGGCAACAGCAGTCGACTCTATTGTCCACTCACCTGCTTGTTCTGGAGCTTTTGACTGTATAAAATGATCTTCTTCAAGAAATGGATATTTCTCAGTTGTCATCAGTCAATAGTTGTTGGCTTAAAAGATGGACAGTTCGTTCTTGACCTTGGAGGCAGAGGAACGTGATACATTTTTTTAAAAGAAAAATGAACTTTGAGTTCATATTGTTCTGTGAAGTGCCGCAATCAAGAGTGATCTGTCAAGGTGAACGTTTAAGCCCAGTGTGGAAGAGAAATCCCAAAAGTGTTCAGAATAATGAAATGTTTGAATAACTACAACATGGTTCCATGTGCAGGTGAGGATCAGGTGATAGAGGTCTCGATGAGTCCATTTGGTTGTGAGAAAATGACACTGGGTCCTTAATATACTCAGTCTAATTGGGCCAGGTAGGTCCTTATTTAACGTCCTTTGGTCTGTGGCTAATACCTGCGGATCTGATCAGAATCAGTATCAGCTCTGAGCATGTTGTACATCATAATCACTCCATTGGAGAATCTTATTTAAAAGATTTCTCTTACAATACTTGACTTGTATATATTCAATTGAGAATATAGTTATCTTCTGTCCATCTACTGCCCAGTTAGCAACAGAATGTTTTATTGATAGTGCAGGAGGTCATAATAAGGCTTTCAGTTATTTCTATAAACGAGTCTTTGAAGCATGAAAACAGTTTCTTTCTGTGACTGTGTATTTGCTCACTGCTCTTTCCTGCTGTGGCTGCTTGTTACCTGGTAGCAGGTCGTGCTGCTGCTGCTAGCTATTCTCTCTATTATTAAGGATGGGCACTGCAGATTAATTTATAAGCTTTTATACTTGTTCCTATACACATCAACATTAGAAATAGAATAAAATACAAGTCTGTCCACATTTTGCATTGAGTCTGGTTACACTTTGGCCTATTTGGATTTTTTTCAAAAAGCCACTTATGAACTTCGGGGACTGGAGGGTTTTCCACGGGTTCATTGTGTCCATAGTGTCATGTAATAATTTACAGCTATGTTTTAAACATCTGGTTAGAAATTATAAATGAATTACAAAACATTGTGGGTCATAAGTTAAATTATGGAATAAATATCATCCAGCTATCTGTATCTAACCCCTTTCTCTTCCTTATCTCCCAGTCTTCCCACCTCCCATCCCTCCTCCTCTGCTTCCTCTCCTCCTTCTCTCTCATTGTGGGAACCACAAGGACGGCAATAAAAACTTGGATACCTCATCTCGTCATTGCCCCCCTCCCCACTGAGTGTCACTCCCTAAACCCGTCATCAATCCCCATTCGACCCTCTCTTCATCTCCTCGTACTCAACCCTCATTTCATCCCACCCTCCAGGCTCGAAACCCTGTCATCCCTCCGTCTTCAACCCTTGTTCATCCTCCCTTTCCCAATAATGTGATTTGCATTGGTGAGTGGCTCAATGGTCTTTGTTGGTGAAATCCCAAAATACAAAAAGTCATGTTTCCGGGACTTCTTTGCAGAATGAGATAAAATGCTCTAGTACTTTCAATAGTTCACAGTCAATTTGACCCAAGAGGCAAACAAATACTTTTGAGAATGTGAATCCTTTGGGCGAGCTGCCAAGCATCTGGCCGAACACACTACTACAAACACTGTCAGCCAGTGCTGCAGCTCCACGCAGGGAGCACAGTGGTCTCTGTTAACCTTGAGTGTGCAGGAAGAAAGAAACAAGACAAAGGAGATAGTTCTGTGGTGGGGGAGGTGAGAGAGTGAAAGAGTGGCAGGGTCAAATCTCTAAACTGGAAAGCACAAAGTACAAAACAGTCCCCTTGGGATGAGGATGGGAAGGATGAATGTTTGAGATTTTGGTAGGTTTATAGCATGGCAATTATTAATTATTCATTATCTGTGTAGAAGAGAAGAATAAGAAGATTAAATATCTCCAGAGGGTGAACCTATGGCAGAAAAACATTTTGCATTGAAATATACATTCCATGATACTGTCGTAGTAGTTTTTGGTGACAAAATTCACTCTTTTCTTTTTAAATGCAGATCACAGGGGCGTCAGCAGCGGCCTGCATCTCATATGAACCCAAGAATAAACTAGATAGGATTTGAGATTCTGATGTGGCAGCTCACGAAACGCCGTGACCCTTTCATCCCATTATCCTCACGCCAAGGTGAACTTGTCACATGTGGCACGCTCCAGTCCTCCTCGAAGAAAATCCTCAAGTCCTTTTTATCCTTTCTTGGGGGGGGGGGGTTCTTTTGTCTGAGCTTGAGTGACTCGCCCATCGCCCAGACAGTTCCTGTGCTCAGCAGCTGGTGTCTCGGGGTTAAGTTTATCCCATTCACTATTGATTTTAGAGGAGCTGCCTTCGCCCTCTTAGGCCAGCGGGACACCCTGAAATTGTTTGCAGAAAAAAAAAGCCTATGTACTTCCAAACAAAGTGTCCTTAAATTGTTTTTTTTTTTTTTTTTCTTTTTTTGTGAGGCAGCAGTTAGGTCAATCAAAGCATGAAATTGCTTTTGAAACAAGAGAACTGAGGTTTGATATTAGTTGTTTTAGCCACGTCTTCGTCATGCTGTTTGATTGTTGCAGCAGCAACTTTAAAAACATACAGTCAACAAACTGTGATAGAAATTAATTACACATCTGTGATTATTTGCAGATGAATGATGTGACCTTCACAACGACTCAGTGTCTATTAACTGCATTGTTTTAATTGCAGTGTGATAATCATTTTTTAAATGATTTAAATGAGCTGTTTGACATGGAACGGGAAAAAAAACTCCTGCTTAACTACTTACTATCAGAAATCAAGCCTGTTTGCAGATGCCAGCCAACAAAAACAGAAGAAAAAAACAGAAGCACATTGCAGAGGGTGAAAGTCAAAGGAAAGATCAGATGAGGACGCAGCAGAGGGAGAAAAGGCTACAGGCTGCATCTTCAATGTAAACAGTGCTGCTGTGATAGGAAACTCTTGAGATTTAGATTCTTTCAAAACTTAATCACCCTGCTTGTGTCTTTTAGAGCCATGTGGTTCATGGACCACTGATCAGGATCATTAAAGGTCCACTGTGGAGCTCTCTTGTAAACAAGGGCTTGTTTACATCCAATGGTTGTTGCCCAAACACATCTGATGCATCCTTATGGCCTGACAAATACATGGGATGTATCCTGCTTTATGAAATGTCTGTTAAGCTTCTGAAAGCTGCATTAGTTACATCAGCTACTACTTCTTTTTCTTCTTCTTCTTCTTCTTCTTCTTCTTCTTCTTCTTCTTCTTCTTCTTCTTCTTCTTCTTCTTCTTCTTCTTCTGCTGCTGCTGCTGCTGCTGCATTGCCGCCCTTTATTGGGCATATCATCAAAAGTGCATTGAACTGCATGAAAGTGTTATCATCACTTTCATTCAGAAGATATGAGCAGATTTGGCCAGTACTGCACCACAACACGAGGCCGCCTGAGACTCAGGAACACAAGTGTAAGTATGTACATGACGGGTCTTGGAGCTGGCATTAAAGCAGTCCGTCTCTTTTCTTTAAACTCTCCTTATCTGTTGCCAGGACCACTTTCAGATTTCAGTCTTTCAGCCAGCCTTCAGCCTTAATGCTCTGGTCACACCTGCATTTCAAGCAGATGATCCAGATCCACTTTCAGAGGCAAAATAAAATCACACTGGTGAGTATTAACTTGAGAATTCACACCAAAGACCAAACTGTCTTGGTAGTGCAGATGTTTTAGGGAAGAGAGACCCGGAGAGTCCAAAAAGGAGAAAGCTATGATATTATTATAATCCTACTCTGCTGCAGTATACGCTGCTCCACGACAGTGATGCAGATGGAGATCTGTGCAGGCTGATGTCATTAGACGTTGATATTTGGTTGAATGTAGGTGGTGACGTCAGGTGACTTAAGTGTCGTGATGAATCCTGACGACAGCTGACGTATTCATTTTAGAATAGATTTGAAGGTTCTACTGTTTGTTTCACGGACCTTTTAACCCCCTCTGGACCCCTCAGATCGTCAGACACAGGCCTCCTCACCGTCCCTCGCACTAACCCTTGAATGCAGAGCTTTCTCGTTCACGGCCCCCCCTGACTGGAACAGCCCATGTCCATCAGACCTGCCCCCTCCACTGACTCTTTCAAGTGTCGGCTCCAAACATATTTGTCCTCATTTGCATTCGAGCCATGATGCCTCCCTCATTTGGTCTGCTTGCTTGTTTTTGTCATGTTGTTTTGTTGTCTGTGCTGATTGTATTGTTCTTGATGTTGTACAGCACTTCGGTCAGCTGTTTGCTAAATGTTCTCTATAAATAAATTTGATTTGATTTGATTTAATATTTGTTGGTTTTGAGTTGTGGAGTTAAGTAACCATTACATATATTTATATCTCCTCTTTTAGCAGATGCTTTTATCCAAAGCGACTTACAAGTGAGCGACGATGCTAAAGCTTCAGTGCAGTAGGAGACCTTGTCGTAAGTACTGAGTACTACATCTATTCATTAAGTGCAAGTTAAGAAGTGCAGTGAAAGTTTATAGTAAGTGGCATGTCAGGGTGTTAGAGGTGTGAGGAGAGGAGGGGCTCTCTGAAGAGATCAGTCTTCAAGAGATTCTTAAAGGTAGAGAGGGACATCCCTGCTCTGAAAGCGTTCGTAGCTTGATCCAGCGAGATGAGAAGTCTGGACTCAGATTACTAAAATCTCTCTTCCAAATGTCTCATGCCAAACGCCGACATAAAATACATACATTCTATCTGTGAGCAAAAACCCATCTTCTGCTGAACATCACAATGTCTGTTAGCAAACATTGGGTTCTGATGTCAAACCGATTTTCAATTCCAACCAAAATTCAACGCCTCTGTTTTTCTGACGGCGACGCAATCGGTCGTGAGAGAGCAGTGGAAACAAATATGCCTCTTGAGTGAAGTCGAGCGACCCAATAATCTCCACCCATCCGACTCCAAACCCTGCTCTCAGCTCTGACTCAGGGTCAGCTATAACTTTTAAACTATAAACCTTTCTTTAAAGGTAACTCCACTCTCACAGTGAGACAAAGTAAGGGACAAAATAATGTTGTTATGATTAATCAAAGTATTTGGTTTAATCAAATTTAACACTCACCACCCAGAAGAGTGTTGTGTAAGCCAGGTCCTGGTACTGGTCGATGGTAGAGAGGACACTCAGGATCAGACAGGCCAGAACGATGAGAAACCTGTAGGAGAAAAAAAGAAAGAGGATCATTAATCTGGATTAAAATGTAATGAATGTAGTGTTTGTTTCATTTATTCTCATTTTGTCCTGTTGCATAATAATATCCAACTGACTTTGTTATGTTATTGACAAACATAATGTTCCTGAAATCAGAGCTTCACACACTTTGTCATCAGTCAAGTCACGTAAACTCTGATCTCCTCGCTGCACTTTTCAACATTCCACCTCATATTTTATGTCGACACTTTACACTTTGATTTAAACAGAAATACATCAGTCAACTTTGGTGTCTGGTTGGAGTCTGAGTCTCTGAACAACTTTGAAAAAAAAAAAAAAAGTTTCAAGCCAGCATAACGTTACTTTATATTTTTGTCATGAAAAGTATCTGAGTGAGTTTAAGCAAACATTCAAGGACAGCCCTCTGGAGGAAATACTGTGAACCTTTTGAACTCCACAATATGAATGCAAAGCGCATGATAAACTTGTCAAATAACAAGCTCGCAGGTTCGGGCACGCACACATACACACACACACACACACACACACACACACACACACACACAGTATGAACAAACATTAAATTGCTCTTTAACATTCTCCTTATTTCTCCCTCAAGGTCACAAGTGTTTCCGCTGCAGCAACAATAAGACGTCTGTAACTCCTCGACCTACTTCAGAAAAATATATTTCATGTCTTTTGCGATCTGGGTTCAAGCTGCTGTGACACGATACCAAAAGCATAAGGAACATTCTCGTATGTGACCTTGAGTTTTTCATTTCAAATTTTTTATTTTTTTTAACTGAATGAACATATTGGAGGACAACAGGGATCTTTGTATGTGCAGGCTTTTGTTATCTGGAAAAAGAGCAGTTGGTACTTGCAACAAAGGCCTACATATAGTACACTGTCACAACAACTACATCTAGGTGATCATCTTTCACAGCTGTTCATAAAAGTCAGGAGGAGAGATCCTGTTTAATTTGAAGGTAGCGGAGGAAGATGGGAGAGCACAGCTGACTGCAGTGAGTCATTCTCAAACTCATAACCTCGTTCACATCTGCTTCCAAGCAAGGAACGGCCTCAGTTCCTGTTTTTATTTTTGTTGTAGCAGTATTGCCTCTGCCGCAAGAGTCGATGTTGGGGTTACTGTTCTGACTGTTTGTCTGTCAGCAGGACGTCTTAGAAAATTAAGAATAGATTTATATGACTCCCGTTGCCGGGGCACGGACGGACAAGAGGCGAGAGATGTGGTGGTGAAGGGCACGACGTCTGAATGGATCCACGTGACACCGACAGAACAAACTTACATGGAGGCACAGGAAAGGTTGTTTCCTGTTTAGATACAGTATAACTCTTATCTTTTTTGTTTAGTTAAAGGAAATGAGGGAAAGGAGAGATGCAGCATGACAAGCAAACAGTATCCAGACTGAAATTGGGGATGCTCCAATTACACATTCACATCTTTAAACCTGAGGCGATTAGGATGTGGTAACAAGACTGAGACTCTTCAGCCACGCCAGCAGCTCTGTGAGGCTGCGTTAGCCACAGCGGTGCTTTGAGGTAAACGCTAACGTCAGCATGCTAAGATGCTCACGGCAGCAGCGCTAACATGCTGACGTGCTTGTTTACAGTGTACCGTGTTTTGGAAGCTAGCCTGTTAACATTTGCTAATTAGCACTAAACACAACGTACAGCAGAGGGTGGTGGGAATGTCTTCATTTACAGGTTTAGTGTCAGAAAGCAAAGTTTGATCTGATGATGGTGCGAGATGGAAATTGAACTGAATCGCCAAACTTATTATAATGAGTCCTGGAAGCAAGAATAATAATAATAATATGAAGCAAATCTAGAGATATGTAACTCAAAACCATCAGTTCCCCTCAGAGTGATGCTAAAGCAGAGGTCAGGGGAAAACTTAATAATAGGATCCATACATGTTTGTAGAAAATATATTTGTGGATAATTGAGAGCATTGACTTGTAGCACTTAATATAAATTCAGGGAATCATCAAACTGGATCATCAGGGGATCCAGTTATTGGGGCATAGATGGAACCTGAGAATACTGCACAGTGTTGGTGGAAGTATTCACTCTCCTGTCATCTGGTTGATATTGTTTCAGTGTATTGTTGAGGAAACAGCCCTAATGGATCCCTGTCTTGTTCCTATATGAGCAGACTTGATGGAAACTTTGTGCAGAGGGAGTTATAGTTTCCAGTCTGTGTTTGCACCATGAAGGCCCCTTATCACCACATGCTACAGCCTGAGTTTATTGAACACTGGCCAGGAATCCAAATCCCCCACCCCCCACCCCACCCCTTTAAACTAACACACACACAGACACACAGGCTTGAATGTGCACGGCACACGTCCACACAGATAAAAGACAGAGGAGAGACCAGCACGGGGGAGATGGGCTGGTGTGTAAAGCAGCTAACAAAGCAGCTGGTCCTGTCTGAAAGAACACAACAAGCAGACAATACAACACATCAGGACTGGGAAGTTTGGTACCTGTGCCTCCTGCAGAATGACATCAAAACGAATACAGCCGTGTGCAAACAGGCGCAATTTTTTCTGTTAAGAAGAGCGGGGTGGAAAAAAGGGAAATGCTCACGGGTTAGAATGCAGTGTAATTCATAAAATCTTAGGTTCAAATGTGACAGAGGCAGTTTAAAAGAGGATCAAAAGAAATACAAATGAACAGCAAACTTTCCAAACCAAACACTCGGGTATGCTAATGGTTGTAATTTGTCAGTGAAGCTCTGCTTAAATTATTTCAGAGCTTTTGAAATGCCAGTAAACATACACACTCAGTATGCTGAGCGCACACTTCTGCCTCACTTTTAATCCATCTGAGACTCTCCGACTCGTCAGTCCCTCTCTACTAACTGCACCTTTTGCATTTCACTTGCCTTACTTCCAGGCCTATAGATAATATGGGCTCTGTATCACTGTCTGGCACTCGTGGGCTTGGTGTAGCAACAGACAAAATAATAAATTGGCTCAGCTACATAGGCACCACTGAACTCTAAACAAAAGCTCAAAGCATTGCTCCTATCTATTATTGATGGACAGATTCACTTGCAGTCTGTTGTGCACTGAGTGTGGAGACAAAGCAGAGGACAGGATGAGAGTTAGTGGTGACGCTGCTGACCAAATATCCTGCTTTGGAACAACAGTCATACTTAATTATTTTCACTGTTGCAACGTGATGAAACACCAAATGTTAATCAACCAAAGGCAATGCAGCACTTCAACTAATTTTGGACAATCAATAGAAGCCTTTGTAGTCACTACAGCCAAAGCTTTGGCTCGTATGGGGTTAATAGCTCAGAGATAAAAGGTGGTAAACAGTCAGTGACCTTGTCTGTGTGTCTCCGTTAAGAATCTCTCTTGTGTTTTGTAAAATAAACTAAAATAAAAAGACATTTGAGTGAGTGAGTAAAGAGAACTCAAGACAGAGAGGATAAAAGCACCGATTTCTTTTAAGGAGCAAATACAAACACCTCAAGTCAGAAATGTTTCTAGAATTGAAAAGAATACTAATGCATGAACTCTTAGCCTGTTTGTTAAATCATTAAAAAATTGTCTCTCTCTATTTATTTCCTCCAGCTTGATGGTGTCTGACAGAATATCTGGTGTGAAAAACAGTTTTCTGATTTTCTCTTTACTCTCCGGGTCGACACATCTGAAACCAGCCTATGAGATGGATCCGTGCATTTACTGTTAAACTCTCGATACAGCGTAGACAGAAACCAAGCAAGTGTTGTGCTAAGCCAGCAGAAAATAATAAATACAACATGGATAAATGTTCTTTCTGTCAATCCAGTGTGGGATATACTTTTATAATCACACTAATCTAAATGTATGCAATGTTCCTTTTCATTGAGATTCCCTAGTGCTCTCTTTCTGCCTTTATAAAACAGTATAATTCTACAGTCCCTGCAAGCATAGTGTATCACCACACACACACACACACTGACATACATATGCATGTGCAAATACGCACACACAAGGGTACCTCTGATAAGGCCTCGGGTCGCTCTGACGTACGAGTTCTGGGTCAGTGATAAGGCTGCGCTTGTTCTTAACTGCTTTTCTCCCACTTAAACACTTGCAAAACAAGCTACTGAACTGACCCCGAAAAACCCAGTGGATGTTTAGACATCCCAGTAACGTGCTCTTACAGCAAACACCTGGTGGTATTATTGGACATGCCATGAGACACGATGCAAATTGACCCCCACCAAAAACTACTCACTCCAAATGCATGGCTTTACAGCACAGGAAATGTGTTGCGTAATTATGCCATAGGTTTCTAAAGGTATGTCTTCTGAAGCCTGGATGTGAGTGTACAGCTTCCTGCTATGTGAGTCAGTAAAGCTATGATGACGTCACGCTTTTCAGTCCTGCGAATACACGTCAACTGAGGCCGACACAACAAACACACTGAAGAATGCACTGTCATACTGGGTGAAACCTCCTGCAGCCTCCAGCAGGGAGCCTTGAGGTCTGAAGATCAACTTTTGTCCAACAGCCATTATTAACACTGTTGGAAAAGCAGAAGTCACGTTTCTAGCGTGTAACAATCACTGTGTTTTGCACAATTTCGCAAACTGCAGCATCACTTTCTCAGACTGTTTGGAGTTTGTGATCATGTCTGATCAGTATTTATTACAGATGGAGGAACCGCTGACATCATGTCCTTCTCGGGGGGCGGGGGGCGGGTGTGATGCAGTTTCTTTCAATGGCAGGCTAATGCAACCGTAACCAGAAATTTTAAAATCTGGGGCAAACAGGGCTGGCGTCTGTCTGGAGCTGAGTAGCAGCAAACAAACAAACATCAGGGCTCAGACTGTGATGGACTGAAAAACGCTTCATTCAAGGCCAAGCAGCCTCAGAACACACTTGATCACCATCATACACACCCAAAGAAGTGAAGTTTGCCACTGACGCTGTGGTTTATATAAAAAAAACAAAAAAAAACAGATTGATTTTGTATTTTAAGAAACACTTTGTGGTGTTTCCTGCCATTTGGTGAACTCTGAGGTTTCTTGGAAACAGCATGTAATGGCCATTACAGAAAAGTTAAAGCATCTCATCTTACTGGTTTTCCCCTGATGTGCAGTCACATGATATAATATTAAAAAAAAAAAAAAAAGATTTTGTCCTGTACTGATAGCAGCCACTGGCTCTCCTATTAATATGTACTGTGCAGTTATTCTTGGTGATGTTCTAACGTGTTTAAGCTGCAGTGTGTTGGCTCATGCTCCCTTTGAGTCAGTGAGACTCTAACCTGCCCCGACAGCCTGCCTGTCCCCTCCGACACTGCAGGGTCACAGGGTGGCAGCGCCGCGGAGGGCTGCTACCTCCTCCACAGCGCACGCGCGCACACAGACAAACACACAAACACACACACACACACATACACACACACACACACACACACACAGTGCCAAGTTTAGCTGCCTGCTATCAGTGCCAGCAAAGTGGGGACAGACAGCACACATGGGGGTGAGCTGGAAGATCACATCCCACATTCCTCAACCTCTGAACAGTTCAGTCTGGATCTAGTCAGTTTCCTGCAAATGAGTTATACCAAGGAGAAAAAAACTTAACTGTGAACTGTACTGTATCTGTTGGCATTACATCAGTGGTGAGTTGAGAGGTAACAACATTTCTTTTTTTCTTTTTTTTTTAAAGTACAGATTTTCAAGCTACCAAACAAAACTGTCACATCAGTTTTGGGTCATGAACCACAATCTGACATTTTCATTTAGCAGATTTAATCCCTCCCCACACACACACACACACACATACACACACACACACACACAAAGTTTTAGGTTCATATTACTTGCTATATTATTTGTATTTCATTTTCATACAGGCAGGTCGTCTCACACACCTGTCACACTGTTAGGAGGGAAAAAAACATACTAACATATAAACCATTCCCTGTCAGGTTGAATTACTCCAAATGTTCTGTTGTTACAGACTCAGTGAATGCAAAGCACAAACCTCTGCATGTGCTGCTGCATTCAAACTGTTCTGGAAAATTAAATGTTCAATGGTGCAAAGGAAAATGAAAGATGTGTATTATATTCCTTTAGTGCTCCTGTGAGTACCTATTTTCTCTGAACTTCTGCTGTCTGTGGTGAATTGTATGGTGTTTTTTAATCTGCAGTGGCTGGACTAAAATACCCTCATAATATTCCTACAGGGACCTCTAGTTGAGCAGTGATATCTGCGCAGCATCTTTCTAAAATTCACAGGATTAACAGTTCTTTGTAGCGAGAGCTTCCATGGCTCTACATGCGCAATTAACTCCCTGTTTAATTAGGATCTTAGAGTTGCAATTATGCCCTTGAATACCCCGTGGATCCGGATGATTATGAAAATAAAAACACTCACACTGTGAAGTGATACACGAAGCATTTCCAGCCAGACGGCCTTTCCAGAAAGTTATACACGCGTCCTTGGATGTAGGCGCGGGTGAGCACCGGTCGGACCCCGGTGCTGTACACCGACATCCGCATAGACATCCGAGGATGAGATAAGTACGGGTGGAGGTGAACCGGGGGGACCTCGGTGCGGGTGTTACCGTCCTCTGGCATTTTGTCGCTTTCAGAAAACATGTCGCTGCCCACTGCTGTCCCCGGTTCAGGCGCGCTAAACGTGGTTTCCGACAGCTCCAAATCCGGTGGTCTATTTCCACGTGCCACACCTGAAGACCTCCGCGTGTTCCCCTGGCAGGGGGCGAGATTAGACATTATAGCTCCCCCCTTACTCTTCTGTCGGTGGGCTAGCTTTTTTCACAGTTATTATTCGGTGACTGACTCAAACGAACAATTGTTCGCTCATGTGCGCTCACCTTCTGGTGCGCGCCTTTTCGCGCCAGGGCGCATTAAACTGTAACATAAACTCTGTTATTAATGCTCTAGATCACCAGAATGGTGTTTTTTTAATTAAACTTTACGGCTCTCTGGGTTGTTGAGGTTATGGCGAGTCCTCAGCCCTGAATGAGTATCCCCTGCCTCTCTCACAGCACTTATCAGTCTGGAGAGCTGTGGGCGCCAGGCGGTGCGCTGTCAGTCGCCAGCTGTTCAGACATTATACTGTTTTGCAAAACTGCTCGAAAGCGATCCAACAATTTATATACACACAAAATGCAAACTCAAAACATTTTTTTCTTCTTTGCTAATGACATGTAAACGCACATGCTATGCAGCTGTCACTCTGTACATAAGTGAGGAAAGTTTCACTTGCCAAATGAGCTTTGGTGTTATTTTGATGTCAGTGAAGCTCTGTCACTCTCACAGTCATTCACGCGCGAGTGAACGCTTAGAAGCACAACACTAAATAAGCAGGAAACAAAGCACTGGTGTATCTCAAGGTTACCACTGAGTTGTGTTGCAATATTTTCAAAAGCTCTTGCATCATACTCGGTAATCATACACTTAAAGTAACCAAAGCCACAGTTAAAACCCACGTGTAAACAAAAGGGTGACCCCCCCCCACCACCACCACCACCACCCCCACCTCACCCCCCAAACTCAAAACACTGGAGACTGGAACCTGCTATGATGAACAGATCAGTATATCAGTGAACCTACAACAATTACATTCAAGTTAGTCCTGCTTTATGATTCCCATAAAGGTTTGTTTACACAAAAAAGTAGGACAATATGTCTGTAACTTCAATTATGAAGTTACAGATAGAAGCTGAAAATGTTCTTTTTTTATCTGTAGGTAAAGCTCTACAATCATGTTTAGTCCAAATGACAGATTTTGTCTTTGATATGATATTGTTATTTGTCCTTGTGATGAGAAAGATGCATTTTCATTTGTTGATACTGTTGTTTTCAGCAACAGATTTAGACATGATGTTAAAGACCCTCAACCAGTTCTGCTAGAGATGCGTAATTAGCAATGCAATTGCAACATATCTTTAATTCTTAATTTTTCCACATTGTTGTTTATGCATTCAAGTATTATTTATTTGAAGAAAACGTGGTGATTGGCTGAATTCATCTCTGCAGGAGTGTACAGAAAGGCCTCCCATTGTTTGACTTGACATTCAGACTATGAGTCATTTCCCTCATTAAACTGTCAGATGGATGTAAGTTGGAAACAACAGTCATTGTGTGATGGCATGTTTGGGAGCTCTACCCACTTCTACTCCACAGTTCATACCTGTCACCAACAGTCAACGTGCAGCCGCTCAGACTGTAAATATTATTAGATGGAGCAACTAAGCAGCTCTGCATTGTGTGCATATAGGCTTCCCATTAAAACTTCCCATTCTCCTTTGTCACCTTAAACACTTGTATGTCCACAGTAAGCTACTTAAAATGAGAGGAAAAGGAAACACCTCTGACTTATTGATAAAATAGCAGCATGTTGGGCGACAGTTTGAAATGACTGACTTATGTGTGATAAATTACGGTTTGAAAGTAACGTCATCCACCCTGGTGTTAGTGTAATCTACAGAAACTCTGGGGACACATGCAGCTTAGTTTGACAAGGTCACCCTGCAGATTTTTTTTTCTTTTTTGCAGTGACCTTGGCCAAGCTTGTGCAAGGAGGAGGAAAAAAAGTTCACTGCAGCAGATTTTAATAGGAGTCGGGTAGCGACCATGTGATGACAGGATCTGTTGCCAGGTAGATATTAAACACAACTCGAACTGCTTCTTGTTGTTATCACTATGCCAGCCGAAAGAGCAGTTTCCTTGAAGGTCAGGCATGCTGCCATATTTGATTTATGTGGAGGAAATTAAATATTTAATTTCTCGGGGCAATTTAAAAATGTAAATGTTGAAATTATTTGTCAGTGAACTGATCAATAAAAGTGTAAGTAATTTTTTTAGGCAAAAATGTCAAAGATTCACGAGTACAAGACTTTTCATTGTAAACATTGTTGGTTTGTCACTGTCCTGCAAAAACCATGTATCTCCAGCCAACACCAACATATTGTGACCATGTGTTTTTCAGCTTAACCACTGGGTTTCTAAATGGTTTATTAAACTTAACAAGAGTATAGAACATTTAATCAGTGAGTTTATGTGACATATTCAAAATCATCAAATTTGGAGACACATAGACAGCAATGTCACCTTAAGTAGCTGTAAGAAAGTGCATTTCCCACTATTTTCTGACATTTTATAGCCCAAATGTTTAACTGATTAGTCAAGAAAATAACTGGAAGATGAACAAAAATGAAAATAAGTTAGTTTCTGTCCATTTTATGTAACACTGTTAAAATAAAGTGTAAAAACAATAAATTTACGGAAAGTTTCATTAATATTTCTACAGAGAAAAACTGTTATTTTACAGATTTGTCAGTGTTGGTAACGTAGCAACAATAGGAAAATATGATTTGTTTTAAAAGAAAGAAATGTGTGTATTTAGTTTTTTTTGTAGGCTATTTCATTTTGACCAATTAGGTCAAATATTGTTTTTGTAGGGTATGAAAAAAGATTTAATAATAAAGTTTTATTAACGCCTATGGGTTCACACAGGCACACAGACACAGACCATAGGCTATATAAAAATGGACGTGGACTTCGGGCAAAAAGAAGTCCGATTGTATTGATGTCTATGGGAAAATGACCCTACTTGTCACTTGATTTGTTGCCTCAGTAAACGTTTTCGTTATGTGTTTATGGTCTGAATCTCTATTTCGCAAGTTTTTTTCAATACAACATGACGTTCATTTTTCAAATTATGGTCCTATTTAAAAGAAAATAGACGTTAAGAAGAGCGGTTTTAGGGCGGGGCTACTGCGTGATTCACACACAGGGGGACCTGCCTGTTAATCCGGATATGAGGTCAGAGCGATGTCTCGGACCTTTGACCTACTGCGTTTTCAGTTAATCAAAGTTAGCTCCAACATGTTGTTTGCCTGAAAATGTCTTGTTCGGCGTTCAATTGTTCTAAAAGACACTCAGAGGAGTCGGCGGTTAAATTTTTTCAGGTAAGTACAGTTTGTTTTCAGCCTATTTCTTTGCTAGCAAAAATTAGCATCACTGTTAACATCACAGTTCAGGTGAAGGTGCACCTTGCTAACCAAGCTAGCCAGCTAGTGCTAGCGTTAGCTGATAACTTAGCGATTGCTATGCTAACGGTACCTGGCCCCGCTGGGCTGATAACCTGTGTCAACCTGGGTTAGCACGTGGAGGTGTTCAGTCAAAGCCCAATGAAAAGGTGAATTGAATTGACGTTAATCTAACGAAGTTTGGTTTGTGTTTCTCTCACATGTGACCCAGTTTAAGTGATCTGCGCTGGTGTAACGCGCAGCGTTAATGTTAGTTAATAGTGTCCATCAAGACGTCGTGATAGTTCAAGTTAAGATAACGTGACGTATGCAAAATGTGTAGACAAATATTTGTCATATATAAGATTGTTCATTAATAATCAAACCAGTCCTCAACTGAAGCAGACATTCATGCACCTATCCTGTCAGCTGATAGATATTTGTGATTAACTGTGATCCACCGCATCTTAACTCAAGCGTTTGTCTTTTATTGTCATTTGAAAGGTTTCCACACTGTGAAAACTGAGTGATCTGTGCCAACAGAAGGAGGACCTCATGGACAGAGCAGCCCATTTGTTTCCATTCATCTGGTTGTGGAGAAGGGAGACTGTATGGACATCCTTAGTTCTCTAATGTGCTGTGATGATGATGGTAGAAAACCTCTCCCAGTTCAGCTTCCTCTGATGAAATGACAGACCAACTGTTGATGAATTTGTTTATTATTCTCTGTCTTCAGTATTCACAGGTTCAGTTTCTTACCTGCAACTTCATTTCTGCTGTTGTTGACAGGTGATGGTAGCAACACTTTTAAGAACAGAATGTATATATATTAAACTGTGATTAAGTGATGGATCATCTCTAGCACTGTCACGACCTCCACAGGTAAATGTATTTACCTGTTATCAGCATGTTTTTTGATCCTTCATTGTCAGTGTTGTCGGTCAGCAACGTTTAAACATTTCAAGTATTTATGTTGTTGATTAAAGCTAACATAGAAATAGTCACACAATGCTGTACATATTACTCTTGTGAAAACTCATACCAGATGTGTTCTATAAAAACCATCAAAGTTAAAGCAAGAGCTTCATAAATAACTTTATTGAGCATTATAAACTATATTAATTAAAAAAATTTACAACACTGGAAACATGTATAAAAGAATAATAAATGGATTAATTAAATACTGTAGTGTACTATTTACAATAAACTATTTAAAATCAAAAAATAGTTGTGGATGAAGTTGAATTTCACTGTCATATGTAAGTTTGCTTAATAAAAAAAAGTTTAATCAACAGTGCAACATAATTTTTGTAACAAGTATAATCATTATTCATCATGAGTCCTAATGTGTGAGACAGTTAATATTTATTTGCTCCAGTAACAATCTCCCTCTCAATAAGTGATGCTGTTGGAACAGCACACTGATATTAACTATAATGGCTGAGGACTATGAAATATGGACTCTAATGTTTTAAACTTGCCAATTTGTTACAGCTACAGTGGAGTCCAAAAGTCATGTGATTGTATGTCTGACTTGGGGCAGAGTGTAATACGACAGTGAGGGTGTAGGGAACAAGGAAGAGCATAGCTGATAAGACTGAACAATGTTATGGCCACAAGTGTTACATTAAAAAATACTATATTATCATATAAGACACCGTGTGTATGTTTGGGAAGAGAAGATCTTCATGTGTGGACACTGCAGGTGGGGGTGGTGCAGGGCCTCCATCATTGCTGCAAGAGGTTGTAGGTGTCCCCAAAGATCCAGACCTTGGCTGGATGGAAAAAAACATTATAATTGAGAGAAATCAGATCAATATCATATTATAGAGTATAGAGAAAAAGACAAAAGAAACAGCACTCTGATTAGATGATCACAGATATCTG